GTCGACAAAAAAAAGACGACGGATAAATTTATTCAATGGATGACGATTGTCTAACATTACTTGAAGATATTGATCATGAACAAATTAATGAAGATGATGATCCACTTATAGCTGAGGTAGGAAAAAGAAATTTCTTGAATAATATTAGATGAGAGTTCTACTTGTCAAAGTGCTATTTGCTTGAAAAAGTATTCCTATTCGATTAATCTTGATAAGTTGTGAAAAAGGTTGAATTTTGCGATTTGATCTTGTCACAATCCTTCGACATAGAAGTAATCGAAAGATCTAGAAATTTTACAATAAACTATTCTCATTAAAGGTTTGTATTTATGCAAAGTTTTAAGTCGAAATTAAATTTTTCTGAAGATGTTTCAAAAATAAATCTAAATACTTATATTTCTAGGTTGATATTTATTTAACACGTATATTTGCTGATCAATTATATTTATTTCAATATCCACTTCGTCCAAATCATCTTCAATTTGATAATAATTCAACATTTATTGGTGCTCGTTTAAAACCTAAAAATAAACTTGTACAACTTGATTATGTTCTTAATACACAATCAGATTTTTATTGTAAAAATAATGAAACAAATATAATTGAAAATTTAATACCAACACAACCACCACCACCACCAACATCATCATCATCAAATGAAAAAATTAATTCCATTGATCGTTTAACATTATCATCAACAAATACAACATATGGTGATAATTATAAACGTTTTGCTGTTGGAATTTTAACATCAAATGGTATACAACTTTCACCATTAAATGCAATATTTCAATTACGACCTGATTTTGATTCAACATCATCAATACTTATTCAACAATCAATAACATCTATTAATGATAATGATGATGATGGTAATGGTAATGAATCAAGTACACAAACAGATGATATAACAACTGATGAAGAAATTAATGAACTAGTAACAATGAAATTTTGGAAACCAGAAGGACGTTTACAACGTGAAAAAAAAATGCGTTCATATAATTATATTGAACGTGCTCGAAATGAAGAACGATGGATTGATTTTGCTTATTATTCATTAAATGAATTCGAATCAATTGAATTAAGAAAAAAATGGACAATAATTGATAATAATGAAAAAAGTCTTTTACCTATTCGTTGGAGAAAAACTATTTCAATTCAAGATTATTTTCAATTATTATTTTTTGATAAACAAATTTTATTTGAAACTTCAATTGAAAAAGAAAAACCGTCAAAAATTGAATCAACTATTATTACTGAACAAAAACCATTAATTATTCCACCAACAAAACCAAAAAAGAAGAAAAAATCAGATCTGGATAAAACAACAAAAAAACTTTCGAGAAAAAGTATAGTAAAAATAATTATAATAAAAGAAGTTTTATACAGAAGACTATAATCATACAAATAAAGTCAAATTCAATTCGAGGAAGTCTATAGTAAATAGCACAAAGTATTGATTAATGAGAAAATCATTTAAGTTTATTAATGGCTTTTTTGTTCAGACTATAAGATTATATACTCAACATCTCCGATCGTTCTATCTTTGATAGAGAAAAATGAGACTTTTCGATGATCCACCATCGTTTTCCACAGGTACTGGCTGTTGGAGAGTCTTTGAATCCATGGGCGTCTACCAGTAAATCCAGTTTGGTTCCCTCAAAACCTTATGAAAACCAGATTTGTGATATACCATTCGACGCGCCTCGACTTGCTCTACAACATGGTGCGATCGGTTTTTAATTCTGAATAGGTTACCAAACCCGGTATGGTCCTTTTTAAAATTCTCAGAACTTTTTGATCCCCCTTGTAATTCAGAGCTGGGTAAATATGTTCGAATACGAGTACGTCGAGTATTGTACCCAGTGAAGTTTTAATTACAAATAGGCCTGTCCAACAGATAAACTCTAGAAAAACAATTAGAACTCTGAAGGAAATAGTAAAGAAGACTTTTTTTGGGGGGTTTTCCATAATTCAATGGGTTCTACCTTATACTTGCAATCCAAACTCAAAAACAATCTACCATTTATCACGGTTTCTTCGTTAGATCTCAATATCAAGAATCGCATTCATGTAGAATTCAATTTTCAATTTCATAGTTTGTTGATGTGTAGAGCTCAACTATAAAAAAGAATAAAATCAGGATTTCTAGACCAATGGGCAAATTTCTCTTGTGTCGAAAAGAAAGGATGGGCAAGATTTTGATTGATAAGCAACACATTTTTTTTGGTCCAACAAAGTACTGATAACGTAAAAAAAAATTAAATGAAGTCTTCGTAAGCCTGAGTCAGGTGTATTTTAGTCTGTTTTTAATGTCTCTGTATATAAGATTTATATTTCAAATTCAAACTACTGTATTTTAAATTTAAAATCTAAGAAACTCAATATTTAATCGTTCAGAATCAAAATTTCGATTATATTTCTTTTCTTTACTTCTTAGGTCGAGCTAAAAATCGAAAACCTACAGATTCAGCCATTGCAACAAAGTCTGAACAACAAACACAAACAACAACAAGTACACCATTATCATCTGTAACATTACCTAAAACAATGATCAAACAAGATCCTGAAACAATACAAAGTGAATTATTATTGTTTATGAAACGACGTTTTGGTTATCGACCATATTTTAAATTAAGTGAAATAAATATTGGTAAATACAAAAATATATAATATAATCATTAAATTTGATGTCTTTTTCATTGTATATATTTTTAGCAATTAAACTTGAATTAATCTCATCTCCACCCGGTCATCCACTCGCATCAGGAGTTACAGAAGCAAGTATACTTCGAGCAGCTGCAGAAATTGGAGCAATTTATGTGAACAAAAAGGTTTCTCAAAATTTTTTTTTTCTTTATTAAATTGAAAGTAATTTTAAAGTTTTTTTTTTTTTTTTATTATTATAAAGTGGCCAAAGAATCTCAAACAAGAACCAGTTTTTATTAATGCTCAAATGGGCGATAAATATGATATGGTAAAATATAAGTGAAGAAAGCTTTTTGTTATTTTGATAATTAATTTTTTTTTAGCTTCGTCGTTATGTTGCTGAACTTCTTGAAAAATGTGATAGTTTTCAATTTACTGACTTACGTTCACGTATTAAACAAGAAAATCAAACACAACAATTTCCTGTACATGAAGTGAAAAAATTTGTTAAAGTATGATCAATAATATGTTTATCTCATTCTAAATATCAAAATACAGTTCGATTGAATTTGAAACTGAAAATTTTAGACTTGATGATCGTTTCTATGAGATCTAATTTAAATAATTATCTCATTAGTTTCGTGATATCAATAAATTTAAAGAAATCGAGACTATGTGTATTAGAATAAACTCAAATGAATTATGAATATTCGGAAAAGAGTTCACGTTGATTATTTATTGTTGTAGAGAAACTGTACTTTTAAAATATTTTTTAAACGAATGCTATAGTAACAGAAAAAACTTATTTTCGAATTTCAATTTGAAACTTTACATAGAGGCACACATTAATAAGATTAATTTATTGTAAAATTTTCAGATGTTTTAATTTATTTCTATCCTGAAATATAAGAACATTAAATCTGCTAGTTTATATGAGCGATAGAAAGATATGCTAATCTCTCGTCAGCTCGTTTGTAAAGAACTGGAGTAAACTTGTTTTTTCTCACTTCACAGTAATCTATAAACTTGACCTGTTATTAGAGTCTACCGGATCCTACATTTTACCACACAGTTTCTACACCTCTCTCAGATAGTCTTAAAAATAGTCGAGTCACAATCGACTGTTGCTTCTCGAGTATGATCCATTGATTCAGTCTCGACTGACTCCAATTTGTAATGAGCTATATGAATTTTGTGATAAGTCCAAGAACTTTTTCGTTCCAAAATGCGAACTTCGAAGTTAATGTGTATCATGAAAGAATTTTTTTTCTTAAGAAACTAGTTGTTTTCTTATTCTACGTATTTTTATTAATAAATTGTAAAATGTACTGTTACTACCTAATCTGATAACTTTCGTTATTGCAAAAAAAAAAATATTATACATTTCTATTTTATTTTAGGATCATTGTATTGCTCGTTCTTCGCGTAAAGGTGTACTTTATTGTGTAAAAGGCACATTGGTCAAGTAATGCAATCTCTCTTTTCCTCTTTTTGTTTTTTGTTTTTTTTTTCCTTATATAAAATATGCCTAATCCTGACGTTCTTATCTCTAACTATGTACAACACGTTCTTAGTGTTTCTGTTATTAATTATTTCGTTCTATGTAAATCTGAATATATTTTCTATTGAAAAGAAAAAAAAAAAACTAAAAAAATAAATCGATAAATGTAGCACCGTTGCAGCACCTATCGAAAAAAAAAACAAATCAATTCATTTTCTTCTGTCAGATGATGTTATGTTAGATATTTATTTGTTTTTTTTTTGTGCTTCTCAACTTCATCATTCACCTGAGTAAGCCACATCGCGCGCACGATTTCTCTCTGATATAAACATACACGCACACACAAAAAATATGCACGACTAAAATACAACAACAATAATTAGGATTTTCTGTGCTCAAGTTCAAAAAAAGACAAAAATCTATGCACTCGCGCTAAACGTAGCGCTAAGTCTAAAGGACAAGAAAAACAAAAAAGAAGAAGAACGTTATGCAAAAAAAAAAAAAAAAGAACAAATGAACGAAGAAACAAACAACAACGATGAACACAATGAAAAACTACAAGAATAATCAACCGGCAATATCCATCATGTGCACATATATATATATATATATATACACCAGGTTTTTTTTGTTATTGCCAGAAAAAGAAGATCTTTGATCATACTCTTACTAAAAGATTTACAAAAGAAAGAGCAGATCTATACACAAAAAAAAAAAAGCAAAGACAGAAAAGTTAATTGTTAAAAAATGTTTCTTTGTTTTGTTTTTTGTTTTTTTTTTTTTTCATCATATAAGAGAAACAATCACTGCAATAGAACAAAATAAGAAAGAGAAAGAGAGAGAGAGAAAATCAATTTCGATAATGATATCCATTATTATTTTGTCGATAATAAAAATCATCATTTCTTTGTTGTTGTCGATAATTATTATAATTTGATCGTCTATAACCACCACTAGAATTTCCACGATATTTTTGACGTTGATTTCTATCATTACCAAATGTATCTTGATTTCTTGAATAATTATACATAGGTGCTGATACATTAGATGTATCTTCAAGTGCAATATTATCAAAAAAAGATTTCTTTTTATCATATATTGGTTCATAATCATTTGTTAAATTTGAATCATGTTTAAAATTTAAAAATTGATTTGATGATTCGGATTGTTCTTTAAATTCATCTTCACTTATTAATTTATTAAATTTACGATTATTTGTTTCAAAATCAAAATCATCATCATAAATATTACCATTATCATGAAATGTTTCACGATTACCATCACCTGGACGTCGTTGATAATTATTCATTTGTATACGACGATTATTATTATTATTATGAAAATATCTTTGTTGATGATATATATTACCATTTTGATAACGATTTTGTTGTTGCTGCTGTTGTTGTTGTTGTTGAGAATAATTTCGATCATTTGAAAAAAATGGTTGACGAACAGGTAATCCACTATCATCTTCTTGTTCATTATAATGACTATCTTGATGATGTGATGTTTGAGTTGAATGAGTATTTGATGGCCATCGTTGTTGAGAACGATTTGATTGTAATTGATCAGTTGTATTTAATGAAAAATCATCAAAAAATTTGCTTTTATTGCTTGATGGTTGTTGTTGTTGTTGAGAGGAAGATTTAGTATTATTATTCCATTGCGATGAAGATAATAAAGACCATGATGCACCAAGTTCACCGGAATCAGTACGAAGACGAGATTCTAGAATAAAACAATAACATTAAATTAAATAAGACTAATGAAAACTTCGAAATTTTCAGACATGTGTCTAACTTAGAGTAAATGTAGACATCTATCGAATCGAACAGCTCGAGTCCAGTCTAATATGAAAAAATAAATAGTTTGATACTAATAGACGTATTTCTATTCTGCTATAGAATATTCAGATTCAGGTAAACCATTTTCCTCTTATGTTTTATAACTGTTTAGATCAATCTAAGGTAGAGTACAATTTGATCTTCAGTAAGATTTCATTATACTAATAAAAGCAAAAAAGAAATAAATTCAACACATTGATAATGACCGAATCGAACAGTAATCGATTCCATCTCTCCCTCTGGTGAATAATGTATTGCAAGAAGCCTTCGAAGTAAGAAAAAAAATCCCTTTTTCGTATTGCATTCGAAATTCGTGTTCAAAATTGGCGCATACTTAAGTAAGCTTTTGTAAATCCTAAGCACGATAAATCTAATCAACGAAGTTTCTAATATGAATTTAGTAGCATTGAAAATCTGAATGACATTAGAAACTGTTAAAATATAATACATATTGTGGCACTCCCAATTGAATTTATTATGTGTTATTATCTACCCTTTCATTGATTGGTTGATTTAACTATTCATGCATAATATTTAACCTTCCCTTGCCATTTCTTCTTATGATGTGTTTTGGCTCTCCTTTGTCCTTTCTTCTATCATAAATATAGATCATTCAGCTATGTCTCTCTATTCTTTTTTCTTTCCCTTCCGGCTAGATATATAAACGTGTGCTTCATATGTGAACAAGGTGATTATATGATATCAAAAAAGAATAGAACGAAGTGTACTTTCATCTGGAGTAATATTTCTTTTGGCAAAAATCGTCATACAAATTCATACACGGTATTAAATCAAGATCTGTTTTTTTTTTTTGTTTACTTTAAGAAATCAGTAATTTTTATTTATAATGAGATAGGATAGATGAAATAATGGCAAGAATAATCATTTAGGAAAAAAAGTCTTCTGTGATTATTCTCTTTTTTTCTTATTTCGATAAAACCTAATTATTTGTACTCTCAACCTTCGCCATCACAACATTTCGTTCATAATTATATTCCACATTTGACAGTACGTGAATGTCGATTAGGTACATTAACGAGGGCATCATGTCCTCAAATGACTAAACCCATTTTTAATCGAGACTCTATTCAGGTACGAAATTATGATCAATAGTATAAACGTCTAAGAGAATTCAGTTATCGAAGAATTTATCGAATTTTTACTATATACTTGAAGAGATAGCTATGATCATGAAAATTAAATTTCACCTTAAAATTCTGTACAAATAAATATCTTAATAAACATTAGGTCAGTATAATATTTGAATTGCGTACTTTGAGATAGAAATATTGAATAGTTTGCTAATACAAAATATTAAAATCAGTGAAATTTTCAAAATGACTTTTGAACAACAACGAATTTCTACTAAAAAATTGATATCTCAAGAACTAAAATTCATACAATTGAACCTTCTTAGACTTTTATACTACTCATCTAAATATAATCTCAATCAAACACTTATTGAAGAAAATTACAAATTGTAACAGTCGTATATATTTTAAATTTTGTTTTAACAAGAAAAATTTCTAAAGTAAAACATTTATTATTAAGTAACTAATCTGTACTAACTGTTAGTATAAAAATCATATTGATCTATATTTTCATAATTGAATTCTATCGAAAACAAACTAATTTTATTGATTGTTGTTCTAGAGTTCTGGTTATTATATTCTAAGAATAGCAGAAATCCTATCAATGCATAAATGTTCTTATTTTTGTTTTTAAATAAGAATAACTTTTTATTAAGAATCGATAAACTATTCGAAAATGTCAAACAAAAGAAATTCTTTTTTTTTACCTTCAGTTTTTGATAAATTTTTTAAATGTTGATCATCCGATAATTTTAATTGATGAAGATCATGTACTAATCGACTAGATATTGGTAAATCTTTATTTGATGTACTAATAACTGCCGATACAATAGCTGGATCATCATGTATTGATGATTGTTTTTGAGGTGGTGGTGGTGGTATTGGTGGTGATGATAAAACAGACATAGGATATGATGATTGTTGTTGTTGTTGTTGTTGTTGTTGTTTTGGTTGACCATCAACTATTTGTTCATCATCAACAATTTTTAAATCTTCAATATCACTATTAGCAAATTGCATTATAGGTACAAGTGTACCGGCTATTTGATTATTAGAAAAATTTCCTGCACGATTTTCTGTACCAAAACATTTGACATTTCCAAGAAGTATTGATGATGCTTGAGCATCGATGCCTTTTGATAAAAGCAAAAAAAAAACAGAAAAGAATTTTTCATCTCTCCTAAATAATAATTTTAATTTACCAATAATTGTTCCAACATATCGACATTGAGATTTGGTAATAATTGCTATTTTACTACCAATAAAACTACTCGACATCATAAGTAATATATATATAGGTAAAGAATACGACGAAATAACGAAGAGAAAAAAAAACACAAACTAACAATAGCTTTCTTCGACTTGTTTATTATTTTATCGTTGGATCTTTGTTTGATGCTAAACTCTGTATATCTGACATCTATTGAAAAGATAAATTTTAGTTTTTAAAATGAATTTTTTTTTTTTGATTTATTAAATATTTAAATAATTTTTATAATATTTAATTGTTTATTTATATGATCAATCTTTATATATGATTCGTCATAGATATAAAATATGGATGAAGCTTTATGGAAAAAGAAAAACGTACAGCTGTAATATTTATCGATTACTAGTTAAACCACATTTTTTTTTTGTCTGAAAGATAAGGTTGAATGAATACCTAATTAGGGAAGTAGAGAAATAGAAAATAATATTTTTTATCTTGTTTTAGATATTTAAATTTCTAAAAAAAAAAAGCCGCAATGGGTGAAAATGTTGATAGTGAATTTGTCGATGAATCCTCTCAAATATTTCCTCTTACTGTTCTTATGTCATTTCTTATTGTATTTGCAACAATAATTATTTTATGGTGGGCAAAAAATCGTCATAAATCATTTCGTCGTGGTGAATGTTTACTTTTATGTGGTACATCAAATTCTGGTAAAACATTACTTTTTTGTCGTTTAACTATGGGTTTAGCTAAACGTACATTAACATCAATGACAATTAATAAAGGTTCAATGATACTTGAAAATGCATCATCTGATCGTCCATCAAAAAAAATTCATATTATTGATATACCTGGTAATTTACGTATACGTCAACGTGATTTTAATGCTAATAAAAATTCAGCTAAAGGTATTATATTTGTTATTGATAGTACAACATTAAAAGAAGAAAGTAATGATGTATCTGATTATCTTTATGATATATTAAATGAAAAAATATTTCGTCAACAACGTTTACCATTATTAATATTATGTAATAAACAAGATATAAATAATGATAATATAACAATTCAATCAATACGTAATTTACTTGAAAATGAATTAACAATGAAACGTAAAACACGTGCATCATCTGTTGATGTACATCAAGGAAAAATAGAAACAAATGATGATATTGGTCAATTAGGAAAAGATACATTTGAATTTAGTGATGTTAAAGATATTAAAATTGAATTTGTTGAAGGTTCAGCATTAGGTACAGAAAAAAAATCATTTACTGAACATTATGATGATGTCGAAGCAATAGAAGAAGATGTTGATAGTGGTGGTGATGAAACTGATGCAGATAGTGGAGCAAATTTAAATAAAGTCTATGATTGGATTGAAAAGATCTGGATTAAATAAAGAAACATCTTCTATTTTCATTAATATCATTATTATTATTATTATTATTATTATTATTCTTTTTTTTTTTGTTCTTTTTGTTTTAATTTATTCATAGCAACAGAAAAAAAAACAAAGACAAGAAATAAAGACGAAACATATAATTATATTCTAGATGACTAGATTTGCAAAACATAAGAAATCGAAAAAAAAATCTATTGGTGAAGATGCAACACCATGGGAAAAATTAAAAGAACCTCTTAATGAAGAAGATCAACGTAAAGAAGCAAAACGTTTAGAAAAAAAACGTAAACGTGAATTAAAAAAGGTTTATATCAAACAAAAGATTTTTTTTAATTAGAAATTACAAGAAAATAAATAAATAAAAGAAAATTTTAGATCTGTTTTCGATGTCGAACTCCAGGACATTCAATGAATGAATGTACAAGTGAAATATCTGATGAACAAAAAAAGAAACATGACATAAAAACTGGTATTTGTTATAAATGTGGTTCAACAGAACATCGATTAAAACAATGTACAGTTAAAGGTGATTCATTTGCTTATGCAACTTGTTTTATTTGTGGTAAACAAGGTCATTGGTCACGTTTATGTCCTGATAATCCAAATGGTTTATATCCAAATGGTGGTTGTTGTAATGAATGTGGTTCTAAACAACACTTTAAAAGAGATTGCCCAACATTATTAAAAAAGCAAGGTAAGATTTTAGAAATAGTTTTTTTCATTCTTATTTGAATAGATCAAAAGCATGATAGAATATTGTAACGCCAAGTTCAAAAATTTCAAAATTAATGATCAGGAAGAGAGAGATCTATAGGAACAAGTCTTTTTGGTTCTAGTCTCACATGGGAATTTCTCCAAGTGTTAATCGTCGATCGAGATCATATTTTGCCTATAAATAAGACTCGATGAGATTAGCGGAAGCCTGGAAGGATTCGTCCCCATACTTTCGGAGTTACGACCTCTGGCAATGATATTTATAGGGAAGACCAATAATGAAATTTTGTCCACAAACTTGAAAACTCAATATCTTGAGAAAGAAATGTTCATTTTAGCTGAAACTTTTAGCATATATCAGTGACCATGAGACCTGTTGATGGACAAAATTTCATTGTTCGACTTCCCTATAAATACCATTGCCAGAGATCGAAAAACCAGTAAAACGGTCGTAACTCCAGAAGGACAACGTATGGGAACAAATCTTTCCGAGCTTCTGCTAGTGTCATTCAGTTTTATTTATGAGCAAAATATGAGCTCGATCGGTGATTAACATTTGACGAGGTGTCCTAGTCAGTAACTATTATTTTCACCTGTATCGTCTCGGTAACTATAGTTTCGAGAGAGCTATTCCAGAATTTATTCGTATCATATCTAAAAACATGCTTCAGTACTTGTTGTTAAGATTTATTTACAAAAAAACTTCTTAAAATGCACTCTTCCGATTTCAATGAATTATCATCTCGCGATGTTCTCTCGTTAGTACTATAGTTTGATATGATTCACAGCATTTTTCTAAAAAATTAAAAAGAAGATTTTTCTTCGCTTCTAAATAAATAATTTTTTTTTTGTTTCTAGGAATTGATGATCAACAATTACCTTGTCTTACTTCAACTACAAATAATATTGATGATAATGTTGAATCAATAATAGAAAAATCTAATAAAACAAAAAAATCATTAAAACGTTTAAAACTTGTTAAATTTTAATGTGTTGTTGTTTTGTTTTTTTTTGTCTTTTCTAGATAATAAAAATGAAAATAGCTATTGAAGGTTGTTGTCATGGTGAATTAGATCGAATATATGAAACTATAAAACAAATTGAAACAGAACAAAATATCAAAATTGATCTTTTACTTATATGTGGTGATTTTCAAGCTATTCGAAATGAACATGATTTACAATCAATGGCTGTTCCACCTAAATATCGTTCTATGCAAGATTTTTGGCGTTATTATTCAGGAGAAAAACGTGCACCTATTCTTACTATATTCATTGGTGGTAATCATGAATCAAGTAATTTTCTTATTGAATTACCATATGGTGGTTGGGTAGCATCAAATATATATTATATGGGTTATGCAAATGTTGTTAATTATAATGGTTTACGTATAGCTGGTTTATCTGGAATATATAAATCTCATGATTATAATTCTGGTCATTATGAATTACCACCATTTGATGAAAAAACTATGCGTTCAATATATCATATAAGAAGTTTAGATGTATTTAGAATAAAACAATTACAACAAGGTAAAATTGATATTATGTTATCACATGATTGGCCACGTGGTATTGTTTGGTATGGTGATACACAACGTTTATTACAACGTAAACAACATTTTCATAATGATATATATGCAAATCAACTTGGTAGTGAACCATTAGAAGAAGTTTTACTTCGTATACAACCAAAATATTGGTTTTCAGCACATTTACATGTTAAATTTGCTGCATTAGTTGAACATACAAATGGACAATTAACACGTTTTCTTGCTTTAGATAAATGTATACCAGGAAGAGATTTTTTACAAGTAAGTCTATATGAAAAAAAACAAATCGCTCTCAGTATTCCAAAAAAAAAATTATTGAAGTTAGTGAATGTGTCAAGTATGTGGAAAGACAGTTTTGAACAGTATAAAAAAATATATAAATTGCGATGAAGAAGTCGAACTTCTTTTGTGACAATTCATTAATTGATTTTTTTTTTTCGACCAATGTCTTATAAAACATTAGGAAGTCTTTTTTTTTTGCTTTGAAAAATTTCTTGAATGTGAAAGATCGTTTTCTTACTCTTTTCATTAACATTTGAAAATTTTTCAAAATATTAATTTCATTATTTCTATGAAAAGATTCTTGATATTGAACCAATAAATCCATCACCATCACCAACTAATCGTTTATCACTTGATCCTGAATGGTTATGTATATTAACAAAAACTGATCATCTATTACATGTTCAACGTACAAATACATTTTTACCATCAATATCACAAACTTCTTTTACTCCAAATGAAAATGATTATCAAAAAGTACAAGATGATTTTTCAAATACATTTGAAATACCTGAAATGTTTGAACCAACTGGTCCTATTTATGTACCAGGTCGTGGAAATATTCCAATTGATATAGAACAATTAAGAAAAAATAATTCACAAACAGAATTATTATGTCTTATGCTTGGTATACGAAATCCGATTGATGTTATACTTAATCGAAAAACTCAATCCATACAAATCGATCAGACATCTTCTATGGATCAAACTAATTAGAAATGAAATAAATCAATTATTTGTACAGATAGATATATTATTTTGTTTTGTTTTTTATACAAGAAAATTTCATTTTCATTCAGATAAATTTGAAATTTATCATTCTATTAAGAATGTATAACGAAAACAAAAAATTATTTCATAGAAAAATTAAAATTTTTTTCTATTCTTCAAAAAATTGATCAATGAATTTGCTTTATTTTTTCAGATCGATTTCTTTCATTTTTGTGACGAACAATAAAAAATTAATCATACATTTGTTATTCATATTTCAAATTTCCAATATTTTTAGCTCTTAATATTATCAAGACATGTAATCAATAAATTTGACAATTGAAAGTTTATTTATTTCTCCTGACAAAAAGTTTGCTTTATATCTCTTACGAAAGAACATA